AAAAAAAAAAAAAAAAGCAGGTGCACCTGGAAGATGTGGTCCTGAAAAAGTAGGTGCTCTGGTCTAGAGCCACCAAGGACGTCTGCCAGGCCTTCCACACTGGACCCTGCTGTGACTCAGTGGTCAAAGAGTACGGTCCACGCCCCTGGGCTATCCAACCCATTCTGTCCCCAGATGCCCGCTACACCCAATGAGGATGCATAATACTTTACTTGCAGTTCTTTCACGGTTTTTTTCTGCTTTTCTAGTTCTTCCTGGAGCTGGGCCATTTGTCTTTGGGTGTTGGCATGTGTCGCCTCAAGGTATTTAATTTCTTCTTCCTGGGTCAGAAGTTGTCGATCTGCCAACTCTTTTTTTATGACCAATTCATTAAATCCATCTGATTTTTCTCGCAGTTTTTCTTGTAACAATTCAATCTAAGAATAAAAAATGTGTAAAAAATACAAGAGACCATTAAAAAGATACCTGATTCCAAATAAAAAGTCCCAATATAACTGATAAGAGAAAACGAATACCGTTTCTTTAGATCAAGGTGCACTGAACCTTAAAAGACTAGCATACTTGTCCAGGCGGGCTTTGAACCATGATTCTCAGATCTCACCTCCTGAGTAGCTAGGCTTACAAGCATGAGTCACTGGTACCTGCATTTATTTCCATAAAGTTTTCACTTAATTGTTATTTAGGGTACAAACATGCTCAAGTTCACTATAGTTAATCAGCTAGGCCAGGCCCATGCTACCACAGAACCAAGATGGATGGAGTCTATACCTACTCAGATTTCTCTTTGATCTTTAATTACAGTAAGGATTCATGTTCATGAAACAGCATTTAAGCGACTTGAGAAATAGTTACTGACCCAAGACTATATTCACAAAGCTTTCTACAGAATAAAGAAGAGTTATCTATGAGTTTATAATGTAGGAGAAAGTGTGGGTAATAAAAGAAACAAAGACTTTTGGAGGTTAAAAAAAAAAGACTAGGGCATGGTTAAAGACAGTCTTTTACTAAAGACACAAAAAGAGCAACTAAAAAAAAAACATAAAATGAAAGTTATTCTGACAAAGGAACACAATAGTATTTCAAAACTTAAAAAAATAAAAGCTAACAGTGACCATAGCAACAATTTGGATGAACCAGAGAATTACAAAGAGTGGGGGGGAAAAATCTCAACCCAAAAAGCTAATACATGACTCTTTTTTTTTTTTTAAATTTTATTGTCAAGGTGACGTACAGAGGGGTTACAGTTACATAAAGGTAGTGATTACACTTCTTGTCTAACTTGTTACCCTTCCCTCATTTTTCTCCCTCTTTTCCTCCTCCTCACCCCCCACATTGCACAGATTATTTCCAATATATTGTCTTAGGAGTATCGTTGTTACATAGGTTCCCCCCGCCCTTTGTCCTTTGTCTCACCACTTTGTTATTCCCCTTCAATTCAGATGAACATAATTATAATATCCAGGGTACCAAAATCGAACACAACAGGGGATAAACCATAGGGGGAAAACACAAAAGAAAAAAGAAATCACAGTACATTGAGAACAACATCATATTAAGTGAAGTAAGCCAGACCCAAAGAAACATAGGTTCCATGTGCTCCCTTACTTGTAATAATTAGTATACAACTAGGATAATCTTAGCAGATAAACAGAATAGCTCAATAGCTATGTACATATGGCCATATAAGATGATACTAAGTGAAATGAATTTCAAGACATAGACACAAGAGGTTCTTCTTTGTTGTTCTCAACATGATTCCATTTCTTTTTCCCTTTGGGTCCGGTCGTGGGGCCTGAACTCTGGGCCTGGGCGCTGTCCCTCAGCTCTTCAGCTCAAGGCTAGCACTCTACCACTTGAGCCACAGCGCCATTTCCAGCTTTCTTCTTTTTGCTTATGTGGTGCTGAGGAATCGAACCCAGGGCCTCATGCATGCAAGGCAAGCGCTCTACCACTGAGCCACCTTCCCAGCCCACATGATTCCATTTCTATGTTATTCAAATAATAAAATTACAAAGTACAACAGATTGGTGGCTGCTAGTTATTGGAAGGGATGTTGTGAAGAAAGGCAGTGGGAGACTTCACTATACCTTGCTGACATTGGCTTGTGCTCCTGGAGTCTAATTCTGCAGGATGTGGCCATAGGGTACAAGTATCTCTCTGAGCCTTACGTGTGTGTGCGCATGCACGTGTGTGTACATGCATGTACTCACTCACACACAGGTCCTGGAGATTGAACTCAGGGCCTGGATGCTGTCCCTGAGCTTTTTTGCTCAAGGCTAACGCTCCACTACTTGAGCCATAGCTCCACTTCTAATTTTCTGGTAGTTCACTAGAGATAAAGAGTCTCATGGACTTTATTTCCGGGACTGGCTTTGAACCATGACCCTCAGATCTCAGTCTCCTGAGAAGCTGGGATTATAGGCATGAGCCACTAGTGTCTGGCTCTATGTCTTACTTCTTACAACGGTATGAAAATCTATCATTCCCCCAAAATGAGCTTAATTTAAAAAATGAATAAGAAAATCAACTACAGCTACCTCAGAAAAAAAGGTCACTGCACAGCAAAGAAATAAGATGGCACACAAGACCCAACCCACCATACAGGTAGCCCCATAGCAGGTAGCCCCTAAACATAGCCATCTACCTCCTCATCCAGCTGTGAGCATGGATGTATGTATGTATATACACATATGTGTGTGTGTGTGTATATATATATATATATATATATATATACACACACACACACAGAGAGAGAGAGAAGAAAAGAAATTGCATGCATGTATTTCTGTGTATACCTATGTATGTATATGTGTAGGTGTATACATACACATAGGTATTCACACACACAGAGAAGGAAAAAAGGAAAGGAAAAAAAAAATAAAAAACACTGTAGAAACCAGGTGAGGTAGCTCAATCCTGCAATTCTAGCTACTCAGGAAGCTGAGATTAGGCACAACAGTTTAAAGCCAGCCTGGGCATACAAGTTCTCAACATTCTGCCTCATTCAACAGCTGGGTACTGTGGTGAAGGACTGTTATGGGGGAAGCACAATGGTTGGGTATGGTGGCAAACTCTTGTCATCCTCAGCACAAGTAGAGAGACCGCAGCCCAGGGCAGCTTGAACATAAAGTAAGACTTTACCTTAAAAATAAGCAAGGCAAAAAGAGACTGGCAGCCTAGCTCTCAAGTGATAGAGCACCTATCTTTTGCAAGAACAAGGACCTGAGTTCAAGACCTAGTACCACCAGAAATATTTACTAAAAGCTATAGAAAGGCCAGGCACTGGTGGCTCAAGCCTGTAATCCTAGCTACTCAGGAGGCTGAGATCTGAGGACTCAGTTCAAAGCCAGTCAAGAAAGGAAAGGGAAAGGAAAGTCCATGAGACTCTTATCTCCAATTAACCACCAGAAAACTGGAAGTGGGGCTGTGGCTCAAGTGGAACACTAGACTTCAGCTAAAAAGAGCTCGGAGACAGTGCCCAGGCCCTGAGTTTAAGCCCACAGCAACAACAAAAAGAGCTGTAAAAAAGCCAGGGATCAGTGGCTCATACCTGTAATCCTAGCTACTTGAGAAGATTAGATATGAGGATTATGGTTTGAGACCAGTCCAACAATAAACATCAATCTCAACCAATAGCTTGGCATGATGGTGCAGGCCTATCATACTAGCTGTGTGAGATGCTAAGATCTGAAGGACTGAAGTTTCAGGACAGCCTCATTAGAAAGTCCAAAAGACTGAAAAGTCAAAAAGGAAAGAAAAACACACACAAAACTATACACATTAGCTACTGCATAGACACAGCACACACCCTACCTGACTATCAAGGTTATCTGGCAGCCGTGGCCGGGCTGACTGGCGGAGCTGCTCCTCCAGCCTCTGGATTTCCTGCTGGAACTCTTCACGCTCATGTTCACGCTCAACAGCCTGCTCCTGCAACGAGTGGTCACACATTAAAACCCTCCCATTGGAAAGCCTGTAACAAACCTCAGAGCCAAGGAATATGGCCTGCATTATACACACGTCCACCCACCAGTAACAGCTTCTTCACCACCGTCATTTCACAAAATGGAGTTAAGTAAAGAGGAATGGCCTTTTAGATTTAATGTGAAGGAAGCCTGGAGAAGAGAACACTTTGAAGCTTGTGGGCAAGAAGCTTCAGTAAGCACAGATGGCACTATACAGCGGTGTGTCCTCCTACAAGGGAAGGCCACACACACACACCCCAGATGCAAGACTAAAACTCAACTGCTACAAACTTCTCCCATGATAGTAAGAGGGAACACGAGATGACAGAATTCCCTCACAACCAGCTTATGAAATCAAATAAGACACAGTGCCAATCAGTGCACCATGGCACTTATTTTGAATGGCATATCATAGAAGCTTCTCCCGCCATCTTGAAACTTAGTGATGCAAATAGTATTTATTATCCAGAGGTCTTACGTCCATGAACTGCCGCTGGCTACGCAAATGCTTATCCAGGGCAAGTAACTGCTGCTTTAGAGTGGCCACCTCCTCAGCCTGCTGGGCACAGCCCTGGTGCTGTGAGAGCTGGTCCTCCAACTCTGACTCCAAGATCTTCATCTGAGACAGCAGAGATGCCTGGTCCTTCTCCGACTGCTTCCTGGCCTCTGACTGCTCCCTGGTTAGAGATTCCATTTCCTTCTGTAGTGCTAAGAGTGCCAAGAAAACAAGTCAGGGCCCAGGAAATGTGTACACCCTCATGATGACAATACACAGAAGAGTGCCAGACTTTGATGGGCTGCTCACTGGGACTCAAACTGGGCTGACAGAAGTTACCAGGAAAGAACAGTCACTATGTTTGGCCACCCTGCAGAGTACACCCAAGCAGGCCTGTAAAGCTACCAACCCTGACTTCTATCAGGCAGGTCTACCTGGATGCCTTTTGCATGGTATCACAGGGCTGTGATACTATGGGGGCTGGAACCAGCCTGTCTTTGTCTCCAGACCCACATCTCAATAGATGCAAGGCTTTCTCAGACACCCTCTCAAAATAAAGACAACTGTGAAACATACCCATCACCCAGCTGCCTCAAGCAGGCTGACTGAGGGCCAAGTGCAAGTCCAGGCAAGAAGTCACACCCCACTTCAAAAATAACACGGTGCAAAAAAGACTGGTGATGTGACTCAGGAATAAAGCACCTGTCTAGCAAGATAACTTAAAAAAAACAACAGGCTGTCATACCTGTCATCCTAACTACATACAAAGCTAAGATCTGAGGATCATGGTTCGAAGCCAGCTGGGGCAGAGAAGTCTATGAGATTCTTATCTCCAGTAAGAACTAAAAAAGCTGCCAGCACCAGTGGCTCATACCTATAATCCTACCTACTCAGGAGGCTGAGATCTGAGGACCGTGGTTCAAAGCTAGTCTGGGAGAAAAGTTCCTGAGACTCTTATCTCCAATTAACCACCAGAAAACCAGAAATGGTGCTGTGACTCAAGTGGTAGAGTGTCTTGAGCTGAAGAGCTCAGGGAAAGTGCCTAGGCCCAGAGTTCAAGCCCCACAATCAGAACAAAAAAAACAAAAAACAAAAAAACACTAAAAAAGCTCGGTAACAGCACCTAGACCCTGAGTTCAAGTCCCAGGACTGGCATTTAAAAAAAAGCTAAAATATTGTCTACAAATTTTCTTACATTTCACTAGTTTTCAAAAAGGCCAATCCTATTAGCATAACATTCTCAAAAAACTTTCATGCAAAGAAATCAGCAATTACTGAAAGTTAGCTTTAAACATGCAGTTATAATCTTCAGTTCAGGAAAAGGGCCTGAACATGGCCACTCTTAACAGCACTACTAGTTCAAGGAGACAAACACAGGCTCCAGCTAAGCCCAGACACTAGAGGGTAGAGGACCACCCCCCCTCCCTGCCCTCAGCCCCTTCCATGCAAGGTCATGGGACATAGTAGCCATGTAAGTGTATCAAAATCGGGGAGGCGGGCGGTGCTAGGAAAACAAGGGGGCTAGGAAGGTGGCTCAGTGGTAGAGCGCTTGCCTTGCATGCATGAGGCCCTGGGTTCAATTCCTCAGCACCATATAAGCAAAAAGAAGAAAGCTGGAAATGGCGCTGTGGCTCAAGTGGTAGAGTGCTAGCCTTGAGCTGAAGAGCTGAGGGACAGCGCCAAGGCCCAGAGTTCAGGCCCCATGACCAGACCCAAAAAAAAAGAAAGAAAGAAAATCAGACAAGGCACAAAGCACAGGGTGGCCCAGTCCCTTCCCTGAAGACCTTCCAGAAGGCTCCACTGAGAAACTGGCCCAACAATCACCACCACTGATGTCAATTCCTGCAATACAGCCCACACAGGGCTTATAGTAAATACAGTGGTCATTAGAGAAATGCTTATGTCTTGAAGCTTTAAAATGGTAAAACTTGGCCAATTTTTGTAAATGAATAGTAAAGATTGCAGTATCCAGCCAGGTGCTGGGGGCTCATGCCTGTAATCCTAGCTACTCAGGAACCTGGATCTGAGGATTGCAGTTTGAAGCCAGCCCAGGCAGGAAGGTCTATGAGACTCTTATCTCCAATTAATCACCTGAAAACTGGAAGCAGAGCTGAGGCCCAAGTGGTAGTGTTAGCTTGAGCATTAAAAACTCAGGGATAGCACCCTGAGTTCAAACCCTATGACAAGAAAAAAAAAAAAAAGGATTACAGTATCCTTTAACAGTTTAGCTCTCAAGTACATTTTAGTAAGTAATTTGTAAAATCTGATGCAAACATAGAGGACATCGTGCAGAAATCACATTTGCCTTTACAAACCTGAGTTCTTGTGGGCAGCAGAGGCAGGCATGCCTACAAAGGGGAAACACAGTGCATCACAGAGAGGGAAACAGAAGATGGGACCAACCATGGTAGGGACAACAGCACTCAGGCAGCACTCGAACCCCACACAACCATGACACCACTGGGCTGCTCCCTTGTGGTTTCAGGGGTTGGTGCCCAGGGATCATGTGCTCATTTCCAAGAAAACAAACAGGACAGATGGCATCTTCCTGAGGTTGACCACAACACATGCTCCATAGTTAAAAGTAGGAGAGAGGAGGCAGAGCTACAGTTCCCCATGAATCGCAAGGTTCCTGGGAAATCAGTCCATGTTCACCAAACGGGGGGGAAACCTATGGCCAGGGAAACTGAAGACACAGTGCTCACTGTTGGCCCCAGGAAGCTGGGCTTCCTGGGTGTGAACGTGAACAGATAGTACTAAAGCTTTAGAGGCCAGGGTGAGAGGTAAGGCAGAGGAAATAAACTGCCAAAATGAAAGCCATCTAAGAAGACTCCAGAAAAGTGACAACAGCTTCACAGTGACAAAGCACACAGAAGGGCAGTTCAAGATAGGAAGAGTTCCTGGAGATATTCCTACAGTGGCTGACCTAAGCCCAGCCTCTGCCGAGGACCTGCAGATCAGTCCTACATAGAAGCCCAGGCCCTACAGAGCAGAGATGAGATACATGGCAGCACAGAAACCCAGCTACAGCCCAATATGGTATCTAACTATCCACAGGCCCAACTTCTGTATCTGTCATGCCCACATTAATAAAACACAAGGTCTCCAGGAAGGACACCATAGCAGACTACTGGCTGCGGTGAGGGTTTTTGAAAGACCTACCTAGCAGAAAATGATGAGTCTTCTGACCTCAGGGAAGAGCTAGGACTAGAATCTTGTATCACCTGTTATGCCTAATAAACGAAGAAGGAAGCAAGGGAATGGTCAAACACTCAGTCCTAAAAAGGCCCCACGCACAGAACCCTGGGAGACAAGGAGACCTGGACAATGAAGGGAAGACACTTGGTTGACTGCACACATTCACACCTGAAGAAGGAAGTCCTGTTCAACACAGCAAGCAGAAAGGAGAGATAAGGCAGCACAGAGGAAGTCAGAAGTAAATCCAAAGGCTTTGAGAACAGGGACCAAGATTAAAAGGACCAAATAAGAAGCTCACCAATGACAATTTGAAAAAGTCATTGAAAGCTGAAGAAAGATGTTTGCCAATGAAAATTTTATTTTGTTTGTATGTATTTTGTACATATGTTTTTTGGCTGGTCCTCAGGCTTTAACTCAGGGCCTGGACACTGTCCCTGAAGATTTGGTTCTCAAGGCTAGCACTCTACCACTGAGCCATAGTTCCACTTCCAGCCTTTTTGGTGGTTAATTGGAGAGGAGACTCTCAGGGACTTTCCTGCCCAGGCTGGCTTTGAACAATGATCCTCAAACCTCAGCCCCCTGAGAAGCTAAGATGATAGGCGTGAGCCACCAGTGCCCAGCAAATGACAGTTTCAAAAAGTTACTACGACTGGAAGAGAATCTCAGAAAGAAGAGTAGCTCAGCATACCTGCCTAGCAAGTATTAAGGCCCTAAGTTCAAATCCCAGTACTGCCAAAAAAAAAAAAGAAAAAGAAAACTCATTAACACAGCATCCAGAAATGAAATTAATATACTTTAGCCTAAAGATAAAGCAATAAAGAAGATACAAATGAAAAAGCCAGACATGACCAAGCAAATCTGACAATGGTATGGAACTATTTCTAACACATCAGCATTAATCTGCAAATGCTTTACACTTATGTTTCAACCATTTCATTTTCAGTATTTATGACTAAAAAAAAAAAACCACTAAAAATCTGGCTAGGCACAGTGACGTGTTGCAACTCTAATAACAGTACCTACGAGGCTAAAGCAGAAGGATCAAGTTCACAACCACCCTGGCCTATCTATATGGCCAGATCTTGTCTCAAAATAAAAACAAGGGGCTGGGGGACGGGGGAGGATGGGAAGGGATGGGAAGGGGAAACAAAGGAGGAGGCTACAATGCTTGATAAGAAATGTACTCATTATCTTGCCCATGTAATTGTAACCCCTCTGTACAGTATTTTCACAATAAAAAATAAATAAAAATTTAAAAAAAGGGGGGGCTGGGAAGGTGACTCAGTGGTAGAGCGCTTGCCTTGCATGCCAGAAGCCTTGGGTTCGATTCCTCAGCACCACATAAGCAAAAACAAAAAAAGCCGGAAGTAGCGCTGTGGCTCAAGTGGTAGAGTGCTAGCCTTGAGCTGAAGAGCTGAGGGACAGTGCCCAGGCTCAGAGTTCAGGCCCCACGACTGGACCCAAAAAAAATAAAAATAATAAAAAAAAAACATCAACAACAACAACAAAAAAAAACCAACCTGAAAATATATTGTTATCATTGGATCTTAGGGATCCTCCAAAGCTCCTGTGTTGAAGAGTTGGCCCCTGCAATGTAGTAGAGTTCAGAGTTGGGATCATAGGAGCTGGTAAGATCACAAGGCTCTGACCTCATCAATACATTCACAGCTTAATAGATTAATAGGTTTTGGGGGAGGAGCTCTGTTTGAAAAGTTAGAGAGGCTGGGAAGGTGGCTCAGTGGTAGAGTGCTTGCCTAGCATGCATGAGGCCCTGGTTTCAATTCCTTGGTACTACATAAAACAAAACAAAATATAATTTTTCAAGTGATCGAGTGAGCTTCCTCGGCTCCCTATCCACCAAGAAGTGAGCAGCTCTCCTCTGCCACACAGTCCAGGCGTGGTGCACTGCCTGAACATAGCAAGTTAGCAAGTAACCATGAAACCTCTGAAGCCAGAGCCAAAATAAACCTTTCCTTCTTCAAGTTGTTTTTCTCACGCAGGAGACACACATTTACAGTACAATTTTAAGAAGCTCATTTTTTTTTGGGGGGGGGGTCGGTCATGGGGCTTGAAATCTGGGCCTGGGAGCTGTACCTCAGCAATTCAGCTCAAGGCAAGTGCTCTGCCACTTGAGCTACAGCACCACTTCCGGTTTTCTGGTAGTTTATTGGAGATAGGAGTCTCATGGTCTTTCCTGCCCGGGCTGGCTTTGAACCATGATCTTCATATCTCAGCTTCCTGAGTAGCTAGGGTTCAACGCTTTTTGGGGGGAGGGAGGGTTGGTCATGGGGCAACTCTGGGCCTGGACGCCGTCCCTCAGCTCTTCAGCTCAAGGTGAGCACTCTACCTTGAGCCACAGCACCACTTCCAGCTTTTTTCTGCTTATGTGGTGCTGAGGAGTGGAACCCAGGGCCTCATGCATGCGAGGCAAGCACTCTACCTGTGAGCCACCTTCCCATCCATCCCGGTTCACTGTTCCAGAGGATTCAAAAGCAATACCAGTCAAGAGGATCATCTTCCTCCAGACCACTGTGTAGCAACTGAAGCTACATCCTGCCAGTCACTTTCAAACAAGCCCAGCTCCTTGCTTTCCATGTCTTCACGCCTATAACTAGCAAGCTTCTGTGTGAGTTTGGACCCCACCCTCACCTCTACATCCACATTCCTTACCAGCCTCCCTTGCCTCTGCCTCAGCAGCCAAGGCTTCCTTCTGGCTCCACAGGGTGGCATTCTCCTGTCTGATAGCAGCCAGATCCTGGGCTGCCTGCTGCAGCTGCTGTCGTAGGCTTTCAAGCTCCAGGACTAGCTGCTGCTCCAGCTCCTCCTTTTGGCCAAGTGCCTCCTGAAGATCAGCTTTCTCCACCTTGAACCCTTCAAGGAGGCCTGAGGAAGAGACAGTGTTCAGGCAAGGTGTTGCAATTCACCTGGAGGGTGAGGTGAGAGCCCCAGAAGCCCTATGAGTGCTAGGAGACCACAGGCAACACTCCTGGCGAGCAGTCACAGGCTGTCTTCCGTGGAGGTGGGGCTATGGAGAAGCCCACACCCCAGAAAAGGGTTACACACCAGCAACCCCTATGTTAAGACAGTGTGCAAAGAAACCTCCGTCCCAGGAAGGCTATGGGACGAACACTGAGTGTGAAGGGCATTCCTTGTCTTCAACCCAAAAAGAAGAGGTCAGTGCCAAGAGATGGTGGCCACTCCAGGGCTGTCTGTGGCCCTTAAATGGCCCTGCCAGTAACCTAGGGCACCCAAGCCATCAATGCTTCCCCAAATACAACTTTCATTAAGGGATGTCAGCGGGCCACACACAGGTGTAGTTTATTCATATACTTTGCTTCTCACGCTTCCTGTAGGAGAGTGGAATCCCTGATGATGAAGTAGACAGCTTACTTTGAGCTGTGTGCAGCTCCAGCACCAGCTCAGCCTTGGCGGCGCTCTCCTCTTGCAAGCGTTCCAGCATCTCCTGCTGCTTCTGCACAAGCTGTGCAGTCTCCTCGGTCTTGTGGAGAAATTCTTTTTCAAAATGAGAATGTATCTGACGTGCTTCTTCTAACTGTTAAAACATTTCAGATTGTTTTGAGAAGCAAGAGTGATAAAAGGAGTAAGACTGGTTAGAATACATTGCAAAAGTGGAAATGCAACGATGAAATCCTTCCCCCACCCCCGTATAACTAACGTAAGGTTAAAAAAAAAATAAGTACACACTTTTGAGAATCAGAACTGCAAATTAGAAATAAGCATAGAAAAATAAGAGAGACCAGGCACTGGCCTGTAATCCTAGCTATTCAGGAGGCTGAGATCTGAGGATCACACTTCAAAGCCAGCTCAGGTAGGAAAGGCCATGAGATGTTGATCTCCAATAAACCACCAGAAAACTGGAAGTGTGGCTCAAATGGTAGAGGGTTCTCCTTGAGGTGAAGAGCTCAGGGACAGCACCCAGGCCCAGAGTTCAAGCCCCATGACGAGAAAGTGAGAGAGAGAGAGAGACAGAGACAGAGACAGAGACAGAGAGAAAGAAAGAAATTACCAGGTACTACCAGGCGCCAGTCCCACCACCACTAGCAAAACAGTAGATGGTATATGTCACCAGGGCCACCCTACTTCCCCCAGAGCTGAGGGGGCCTTCCTAGACCTCCTTTACTTCCCAGAGCCCAGCCCCGCCCGCCCTAGCCCTTCTGCCTCCCTCTCTGGCACTTTCAGGCCATCTACAGGGTGAGGGACGTAGATGGGCCTTTGAACTCAAAATACACACTCTTCTACTCCTAGAGTAAAGCACCAAGCCAAGCTTCCCTTGGCTCCCCACTAGTTAGCTCAAAATTCTGGCCTTTCCTGGGCTCAAGATATGTGCTGGTCTCTAAGAATATCATTGCTTCTTTCCTGAAAATGTTTCAGAGGACAACTCTTATGCATCTATTGCCTCTCCCAAAACTGGCCACCTCCTCCAGCTTCTATCCTCTTGAACACCCATCTCTATCTGCAGTCAAGGGCCACATAACCACCAGCAAACACAGCCTGGCAGGGAGCCCTGTCTGACCCTGACCTCAGTCACACCCACTACCACATAGCTCTAGTACTTCCCCCAAGGCTCTGCTGCCTTGATAGGGAGGCTCCACCTTCAGCACCTCCCCATGTTACTTCCCCCCCCCCACCCCCAGCGTGGGGGAAGGTTTTTAATAAGTCGTATAGACCCACGGCAGCCCCAAGGCACTTGCTTAACATCTGCACCATGGGGTGTGGTCCTGCAGAAAAAGCTCATAGGAATGAGTTCCATTTAGACCCATCTAGAGACATGGAAAGCACCCGATTACAGGTCAAAGGCTGGACAGGATGCTCATGGGGAGAATGGGGCAGGAAGGCGGGAAGCCCCAAGAAGTATTCTGTCTCAACACTAAGGGTAGAAAAATTACTTAACACCAATGCTTAACAGAGAAATGCTTATGTTTTAACTGGAATAACTTAGAAAAAGAATCACCTTATTGTTTTCCACATACTCTTATTTCATTCCTATTATAATTGCCTTAAAGGTTCTGAGAGTTAACAAAATCAATTCTTCTTAGTGTTAATCTCTAAATATGAAAACACTGAGTAGAATTGCAATACTGCATGATGTAAAAGAAGTGGTCTGAGATTCTATTTGCCATTCACAGAAAGTTTCCCAGAGAGTAGGAAAGAAAAGACTGGAAGAGAACATGTATGAGAACACAGTTGATAATTCACATGAATAAAAGTTAAGGCCTGAGGTGGTGACTCAAATGGTAAAGAACCTGTCTTATAACTGTGAGATTCTGAATTCAAATTCCAGTACTACTACCTCACTTCCATGCCATCTGACTATCTCACTGCAACAAGACCAGAAGATTTTATTCCCAAATGACCAGTAGAACATCTGCTCCTTACAGGCTGCAAAGCGTGGCAGAAAATTACAGATAATGCAGTCACAGAACCTAACTGAATGCCTAACAGCCCCATATCACCATGTGACTATATTCTGTCAGTACCATGTTGGTGTCTGAAGACTCACGGCCTCCACCATGACATGCACTGGAACTCACCTGTCTGGAGGAATCTAAGGCCATCTCTAGGAGCCCATCAACAGCCATGCCAAGGCTCTGGTAGAATTTTCTAATGGGCTGCTCACATTCCAGAGTACTTTCCGGATTCAGTAAAAAGCTTTCACAGACATGACTGCTAATTTCAGCCACTGAAGACATCTCTGCTCCTTCAGGCAAAGTTCTGTCCAATCCCAGCAGGATAGTATCAGACCATATTTCATCAAGTGCTGGAGCTAAAGTAAGCAAATACAGACAACTCTTCCTATGAGTGAGTACTCTGACCAGCCTGTGCCCTCCACTCAGTGAAAATAATGACCCAGCCAGAATCTTAGGACCAGCATACACTCCACTTCCTCAAGCCCTAGAACCCAAACACTCCAGACCATAAGCAACTGATTGAGCCACACTCTTAGGACTAACACACACACACACACACTCGCACGCACGCACGCACGCACACAGCAACCCTCAGGACCAGGCAATTCTACATAGGCCCAAACTTCCCTCTCCCTGAATTTGGATATAGGCAAGGAACAAAGGTGAGGCCCCTTAGAGCTTCCCCAACCCAGGGCCTGCTCCCAGCATCCCCAGCCTCTGAGGGACTCATCCTGGTACACGCACCTGCTTCTGGGGCTTGGCCTGCTTCTGTGGCACCCATGTGGTCCAGAAAGAGACCCACACGCTCACTAATCCGGCTCTTCAGGGCAACAGCTGCCTTCAGTGTTTCTCCAAACAAACCCAGCAGTCTCCTCAGGGCATCACGGAGTACTTTCCTAAGACATGAACCACAGTTATAAGGCTACTCTGCAGCCTTAGGAATTCCCTGGCTGGGGCTGGGAAAGTGGCTCAGTGGTAGAGCGCTTGCCTTGCATGCCTGAGGCCCTGGGTTCGATTCCTCAGCACCACATAAGCAAAAAGAAAAAAGCCGGAAGTGGC